GATGCTTACATGTCATATATAAATGAATTTCTACTCATTTATAGTTGAAATGGCAAAAGAATATAAATGAATATAAATCCTTGTGCTTTTAGAGTCTGTTTAGAAGAGCATCTGATTTTGAACACTAAACCAATCATTTAGTAGCAGGGATTAAAAAAAATAAATCTGAAATTCCCTCTACATTACTATGATGCCATGAAAGGGTACACCATGCTGAAAATCCCATTAATCATGATCAAATTAATTATTTAATAGGTCATACTTCGGTTTATGACTCTAACACAAACAGGAGACAGTTAGGATAATATTGATTTATATAAAAAAAATTAAATAATTTATTTAAATAAACATATATATATATATACATATATTGAGTATATATATATATATAAATATATATATATATGGGAGTTGGCTCGGAGCCAGGCAAGCGAGCTTGGAGCTTGTTTGTCTGGCTGTGTGTTTCCTGGCATGGGCCGCCTTTTACAGCTGCTTTTTGTATTTCTGCTTCCGTCTCCTTGAACCCCAGTCGGCCTCGGCAGATGGCCACTAACACCGAGCCTGGTTCTGCTGGAGGTTTCTTTCTGTTAAAAGGGAGTTTTTCCTCTCCACTGTCTCTACAAGCATGCTTGTTGTGAGGGATTGCATTTGAGTCAATGAGTCGATGCAATCAACGGTTTTCCATAGATAGGAAACTTTGAATCAGTTTGACTGTATGATCCAGTTGGATCAAAATACGAAAGCAAAAAACCAGGAGAACAAATAGTAAAGAAAGAAAGTTATTACAGATGAAAGCAACAATTGAGTTGCTTCACAGAATAGTCACAAAATAGCTGATAACATAAGATGATTTGGGAAGGTGAGATTGTAACACAAATAATGAAAATCCTGCAAGAAAAATAAGTAGGTAACTGCAACCTAACATCCAGAAAGGTAAAAAAAAAAACACCAAGAGATGATGACTAAACACAAAGTAAACAGAAAAGCAAAAAATAAATAAATGTAGAAATGCAAACCAACATAAAAATGTAGACCACAGAGATTAAAAAGTGGAAAGATAATAGATTAAAACATGCCATTATTGTAAAATAAATACAATTTGTTCTAGTTTGTAGCAGAGGTGGAAGCTTTAACTCTGTGACCTTTTTCCTGTAAATCTTTTGGCAATAACCATAAAGAAGATCATAAACATAGAAGGTAATATAGAAATTGGGTGGCTAAATGAGTAACTGCTCAAGATTAAATGAAAGCTTTACAACTTAACGCATATAGATAATTTATACAATTATTTTTTTCATATATATACTGACAGAAGAGATGATGTTTTAACTATTGTGCAAAAAATTTGTAAAACATTTGAGAGACATCTTAAATCAGGTTTGAATATTTATAAATTGAAATGAAAGGCAAGCTTAAACTGTTGGTTCTGTGTTATTAAGTCATTGGAAGAGGAGCTTGGCCCCCTTAGGATTAATCACTAACTAAAAAACGTGTGACCTTCACTGGAATCATGCTGAGAAACTCAACACAACAATAATCTTCGATTATCAGATAAAGCTTTTTTTTAGGTTAACTTCTGTTAATAATTATAGGTTATAAGTATAATGAATAAGATTTATTGAATATTGGATAAAAAAACAAAGATATTTAACAGGAAGGTTACTTTACTTTAAGTGCAATTAGATATAGAGGGGGTGTGAAAAATAAGCTTTACTTCTTCATACCCCTTTTCAGACAATTTACATTAATCAATGTCAGTTCTATGGCTGTATATATCAACAGGTTTATTTGCTGGAAGGTTTTGTTTCTATTTATGTTCAGATGAATTTAGTTTGTTTGGAAATTAGCCTCACACCTACTAAGTATTTAGCGCAAGCTGGGTAATTTAACATGATAGTGATTGATCATGAATTTGATATTATAAATTATTCATTTTAGAAGGGATGTTGTTCGTTGGGTATAAATTTGATCTAAATTTAAATTTTTGTCAAGATAAGCCTCGTTTAATTGTTAGGTTATTAAACCTATATAATTTTTTTCATCTGATCATTACCCATAATTAAACTCCAATCACACCATGACTTAACTCATTAATACCTAATGTATACCTTTTATCCATACATAATAGAATAGAGAATATAAAATAGACTTAGACTCAACTTTATTTGTCCTTGGGATTACTCCTTCAGGGAAATTCTGGTTCCACTAGCTTATATAGAATACAAAGAGTTAAAACAAGAGGCCATTAAAGATAAAAAAAAAAAAAAAATACATCAGACAATATAAAAAGAGTGTATATAGTACAAAAGAGAAAAAGTTGTAATTTCCTGGGATATGTTTCCTTTTGATATAAAAATAACTGCACAGTAGTGAGCTAAAGAAAGGCTACACCGTAGTTGACTTGGGTTATTGCACTTGCACTGCAGAAATATACTGACCATATAAATAAGTAAAAAGGATACAGACTACACAGTAGTTTACTTTAACTATTGCACTTGTACTGCCGGGATGGACTGACCTTATAAAGAAGTAAAGAATTACACAGACTAGAAAGTAGTAGGTAGGTGTTATTGCACAGTGAGAGAGGAAAATAGTGCAGACGAGTGAAAATAGGTAATGTTTTGCACAAGATGTCCAAGGAGATGGGTGTTGACCCTTGTTCCTCTTCCGATCACCTCCTCCTTCCCCCCAGTGAGGAGTTGAACAGCTTGATGGATTGAGGAACAATGGAGTTCAGCACTCTGTTGGTCCTACATTTGAGGAGGAGCAATCGCTCACTTATTAGGCTCCTCTGAGTGGTGAAGACAGTGTCGTAATGGTTGATAATATAGATTTTAATATAGGTTAAAACGATAGATTTTTTAATTTGTCAAAATTATAGAATCTTATTGGAAAACAAGATTACAAAAATGGACAACATTCAGGAAAAAGTTAACTAATTCTTGCTTTTTAACACTTGTTTACTTATAAGTAATTTATTGTTGATAATATACATTCACTGTGACAAATTAGGCTATATTATACGTTAATGAACAATTATTTTTTTGTCTTGCTTTGTTTTTTTTACAGGGTGAAATTTATTCAAACAGCAGGGTAGAGTAATAAAAGACTTAATGTCCCAGTCTTTAAAAAAATAGGCAGTTAAATGCCTAAAATCCACAGTAGAATGGGCCTTAAGCTGCAAGGATAAGTTTAAACAAACAGAAAACTCAATGAATGAAACCACTTCCTGTTTGGGTCGCAGCATGGCGCCGCCCACATTCTCTCCCCCCTCCACCTACTGATACAGCTCAACAAATAAGCAATGGCTTCTGTCACACAAGGCATGCTGGGAGATGAAGTTTCACTCAAAATGGAAATTTCCAACATATCTGTGTAGAGGAGTGAGCGGAAATTTACCCTGTCTCCTCCGCCGTTAGTTGCAGAGCCATGTCTGCCTTTCAGTGAAAGTCAACTATAAATATATTAATCTGTTGAGACCAGATAAGATTATCATAATTTAACAGATTAAGCAGCAATATCCCCTATGTTGGTGTTATGGTTTTGTATGGAATGTCCTGTTTTATAATACTTGTATTAGTTTGATTTGCAGATGTAGCAGCTGTGGTAGCAGGCCAAGAAGGCCAACCAGAGGGCCTGAAAGCATTTTTTTTGTGCAGTTTATCAGTTTGGTTGCCAGTCTTTCTGACACATACCTTTAAAGATCCAAACGCAGCAAAAAAAAAAAAAAAAAAAAAAAAAAAAAAAAAAAAAAAAAAAAAAAAAAAAAAAAAAAAAAAAAAAAAAAAAAAAAAAAATATAATAGCAATGAATAATGCAGAAG